TGTTGGCCAAAGGGGTGTACTCTGTAAATATTTTGTTAAATTTATCATAGTAGTATTCATGTCATGCTAATAGCAGTGATTTATTTTACCAGAACTTTGGGTTGTGATTTATCAACCATGTTTTGTTTTAAAAAGGAAGCAGATTGTGACTCCACCTCCAAAAATAAAAAAAACAAGTGGAACCAGCCCTTTGTGTTTTCTAATCAAGGTTTGGATAGAGAGCAGATAAGTTCAGCTAATTAAATGGAACGCTGACACTCAAATGTTAACAGCACTGAAGTCTCGCCATTAGATCGGCTCCCTCTTCCCCACAGGCCGCTTTTCTGGCTGGTGAGCAGGCCTGGTTCACTGGAGTGGAAGGACCCGGAAGAGAGGGCAGCCGATACATCACCCTCTCCCCCTCCCTGTTACTCATTACCACACAGACTCTGGACCGCCATGTACATGTGCTGCAGCCACTTTAATCTGTCTCAATTTGAGAGCCCTCGGCTGTCTCTGCTTCCACAACGAGCCTATTTAACATGATGGCAAGCTGGAAAAGCAGCCGAATGAACTGTAGATCTCTGGAGAGGCAAGGAGTAATATGCTCCCACACACAGTCTCAAAAGCAGAATACACAGCTGCACGACAAACAGCAGATATGCAAGTACACACACAGACACACATGCACCTACACACTAACATAACAGTCCCAAACACACAGATCAAAGTCAGATAGACTTTGTGACTGAAGTTGCAGAATTTGTAGACAAACCTATCATTATATCCCCCAGAACCTTCACTTCTTTCCCGCGGCTGGAAACCTTCTGCAGACCTTGCAGAAGACGATAACAAATTTCCGAGTTTTATATTATACATTGTAGTCATATGGCTACTGCATTGGTTTGCTTTTGCATTTTCTTAAACAAAAGTAATTCAGACCACTCTGGAAACAACGGCAATCAGAGACCAGTGGCCCAGAGGGGACAGCAGCTAAATTGACACTGTTTTGTTTGGCAGCCTAATGAAAAAAACATGGACAGGGTGGCTGCTCCTAATTAAGCACAATCCTAATTGGGAGCATTTTAACCCTTCATTTTAAATTAATGGGAATTCTATTAGCTTTTAATGACTTTTTTGCCCTGAACTCTCTTAGTTTCTGACTCGATAATGCCCAACTGAAGACTCTTACTGTTATTGCTTCAGTCTTAAGATCTTCACTTAACTTACAATATAAATGTTCAGCGTTACACTCAGTCTGCCATATGTTGGAGCTGTTATATGAAGAAAGGGATGTGTGGGCTACTGGTGTCATGGAAAGTATGTAATTGTTTCTTACAGCATACATGTACTATAATTGGTTATTTAACTGAAGTGAAAGTGTTTTTATTAAAACAAGGAAATTCCAAAGTGTACTGTTCTTTACCTGCATCATTATCACTGCTCTGAGTCTTAATGAAAAACATGTTTAGCGTTAACAAAACAGCATAAAAAAAAGAATTATACACTGACATATATACAGTATGTATCTGCCTCCAATTCATAAGGCCACAACAACCTAAACTTAAATAAAAACATAGATAAACACCTTTAAACATTGTTTGAGGTGTTAAATGATCCACATGACTTAAAAAGCAAACATATAAACAAACAAACCCAAAGAGGACCATATTGCTCTTCCGTATCCATTCAGTGGTTATAAAGTGCCACTGTGCCAGCTGTCAGAGGAATAGGATGACCCTCACTTCCAGGTCTAACTAAACATATTTTTCAACTCTCAGTTTGAGTTTGAGCTCAAATGATTCAGACACCCAAAAGTGAGCCTTTAGAGTTAGCAGCTTTGAAAATTATGAGCAAGATAATCTCTATTTCTCACTCAGATGTAATCATACAATTCCTCTAGCATGTTCAACCATTTTGTACATTCAGGATTCTGTCCTCACTCATGTACATATGTACTTTTGCCCATGGCAACCGTTGCCTGTGCACTGTCAAATCTTTTGTCATCTATAGATAGATAAATAGATAGATATATAAATAAAATGTAAGTCAGGTGCATATGAATATGTCTGTGTGTTTGTGTGTGTGTCACAGCACTAATCACACTTCATATCTAAACTTTCACATGTACATGAGTGCATTAGTACACGTATCTCCCTTACAGTTTGTGTGCACATGATTTAATCACACAGAAACATTTTGCATTTACAAACACATCCATATCAGTGTTTTTGTACAGGTGCTTGTTTATGTGCTTCCATGTGTGTGCTACATACTCAGTGAGTCACACACTATATCACCTGATAAGCTGTTGACCCGTGCTAATGCAGGTTTTTGAAGAGCTATTTGTAGAGCAGGGAACTCTCAAGTTGGACTTGACACACATTTTCATAATAGTTCAGAATACAAGTGGAGAGCACGGCCCAGATGTAGAAAATGCCACGCTGTAAAATGTGTGAACACGTCTGTTTGTGGTTTAATAACCTGCAGCGGCATAGAGAGGATTTGATCATTTGACACACTGCTGCTCTTATTTCCACAAAAGGGATTAAGTTTGTATTTGTGGTTATTTGGGACCTGGGAGAAATATGGAATCCTCTAGAGGAGACTCAGTTATGCAAACATAGAACTTTGGTCTACAATGGTAACAGTAAATTAATGCTAAATATGCAACAAGTAATTAATTTTTTGAAAACCCAACAGGTAAATTTAGCCTGGGTTCCGGCACACTTCCATGTCCATACTGTGGGTCTAAGAAACAGGCATGTGATGTTGGTTTTATGCCTTGGGATGGGTTTGGGCTGCAACATGTTGTTATAGTTGTTTTGTTATTAGGGAATACATTTCCAAACTAGGTCTTGGTATACTGTATTAAGGCATGTTCCAGAAACCACTGGACAATTGGGCTCCCTTTGACCAATTAGTGGTTCAACAGGTTACTAAATTTTATGGTTGTCCTACAACAAAAAACGTTATTCAGACATTTAGAGAGGACTGAAAAGGAGGCTGCAGCAGTCTGAATGAGATGTGAAAAATCTGGAAGACCGTCTTTTAAAAAAAGCTAAAAAACATGGATCTGTACATCCAAAATCTTCATCCCGCTTGGCAGCAGAGGTCAGAGGGATTTAATGTTTTGTTGATATAGATTGTTGGATGGATGTGTTGTTATGTGAAATTCACATTAATATTTTAAAAACTCATACTGCAGATTTGTAAAAGTTTCACACATAGACACTGAGATTGCTGTGAGATTTACAAACTACAGGTTGATGCTAGTTCAAGTGCTTTTTATGGCACATGTACAATGTCAAACACACCGTATAATTCGTAGATTCATACCCTCCCACACACACAGACACCCCTCTCCCTTATATCCACTGCTTGTCCATACTCATTATTTACACTTGTGTCTGTAATTGCAGTTGATGTAAATATTTCATCTCTTCATACTCCAAACTCCCACTTCCAGCCTTCCTCCTCCACATCCTAGCTGCTCAAACCCCTGCAGTTTAGCTGCTTGGATTTCTTCCCCTCATTAAGAATATTGTTTCAGCGGGCAGGTGTCTGGATTTACCACAGTCGTAGAATTAATTCAGGACATAACAAAACATCCTATACAGACTTTACTGCTGTGCTGGGTGTGGCATTCTGAAAATAAAAATACCACCTTCTAACACAGGTGCTCAGGTTTGGAACCACATAACTAGTACATGTGTCATTTCTTGCTTTGCTTTGACTTTGATTTCTTCCCTTTCAAACTTATCCTCCACATTTCAAATGTTTTTCTCATTCTATAATCTGCAAGCAGACACATTAAAAACATTATAACACTCCAAGTGCAGCATTCTGTCAAAACATAGAGCTCAGCACCCAAGAAACTGCTCTCTGATTTATGTAGATCTCATATTAAAGCCCCACTGTGAAGCAGGCCTCATGTATTATTCACAGCAATAGCCATGTGTGTGTTTTTGTATGTATGTGCTCGGCCCTGTCTTCTAGAAATTACATCTATATACAAGTAATTTGCAAAGGCAAATGCCGACCGTATTAGCTTATCTATTAATATAACAAGAAAATCTTACATACCTGGCATGTTGCAAAAATACACTGAATGTATCATTAAAAGGTTCTGAGAACATAAAATAAATAATAATAGAAAATCAGCAGTGATTGTTCATTAACATTTAACCAAAATCACAATCTTTCTCAAAACCTTAACCAAAATGCTTTTGTTGCATAAACCTAGTGCTAGGGTTATGTTTTCAGATTACAGCCACAGCCCCTCAAAATGTATTTGCGAGTCCCTGTTAAGACTGACTGGGACAGTAAGAAATAATAACACTGAAACTAGGCAGTTCCTCTCACAGGGTTTTGGAAAAACAGCAGTACTGCAGACATTGGTGCAGGGTGGAATCACTCAATCATGAATACAACATCTTTATTATTGTTCACATACTTTAACCTAATAATCCATAATACTTTTATAGATATAAATGCTTATTTTGCTTTTTTATTGCTCATTAATTGACTGATTAAACTGACTGTATCCCCAGTTCATAAAATTTCGAAACATCCTGGGGCCAGATGGATAAAAAGAATCAAATTTCACTGATTGCTTTTCTGATGATTGGGAGAGGGAGCGGGAGGTAGCTCAGTCAGTAGAAACTTGCTTTGGGAGCCTGAGGGTGGCCAGTTAAAGTCCAGCTTGGACCAGCTTGGAGTGTGTATTGGTAGCTGCCAGTTCTCCTCCTGGGCAATGCCGAGGTGCAAGGCATCGAACCCCTAACTGCTAAAGCGAAAACTATGTGGAAGCCCCGTCACTCTGACATATCTCCTCTCCAAAAAATGCATGTGTAGGTATGTGTGAACATGTGTGTGTATTTTGGGGTTATACGTGTGATGAAAAATACCAACAGTCTAAATTTAATTTTGATGAATAATCTTTGTTTTTTCTCCAGTTCATCAACACAAACACACACATTAAGATCATTCTGCAAATAAAAGGGAAAAGGGTGACTTACTATGGTGAAGTTCATGACCTTAAGGATCCAGATAGTTAGTGCCAAGTTGATCAGGATCAGGATCATCAGCAGCAGGACGAAGAAGTAAAGGCAGCGTTTCCTCCAGCCGTATATTCCCACTTTGTACACTTGGGGTTTCTCTGAACTCTGGACATTGTTCCTATGAGTGCACTGTTCTTGGGTCATCTAAGGGAGACAGAAAGAAAGAAAAAATTATTATAGATCCTATCTTGATCTCTGGCACATTTACTTATACAGCTCTTTTTGGGCTATTGGGCAATTATGAACTGCTGTGCTTTGTGGGTGAATCACCACACAGGCTATTGTTTCATCTGTGATTTCACTGAGAGTGCTACAGGACATTTGCATTTAGTTAAAAGTGCATTTTTAGCTTTTTTGCCACTTGTTGGCAGCAGAGCAAGCTGTAAACACAACACTGACATACTGCCATATATAAAGCAGTAAGGCCGAATATGTGTAAAGTTTCCTACTTAAACATGCCGCAGAGACAAAGCAAAATTCTATATTTTTTTAGAGCCGCAACAAATGAAAGTGCAATATTAATTCCTTTTTTAGCTCCTATTTGGTCTCCATCATCTCCTGAGAGGAATATCTGGCTTTTTGGCTGCTAAATGTTTCCTCTGTGTTAACCAGCTAGTTGCTAACTCTGCCTGTTTAATGTTTGGTGCTGGACTGTTTGCTTGTGACTACCATTAACAGCAACAATTTACAGCCTGTCTTTTTCTAGTCTGGCTTTTATGTATTCAGCGATTATAGATGCCCATTGGGCTTCCATGGTAGAGCCACCCATGATTGCTTTGAGATTTGTGATGCAGCTGTAGAGACTCTGTAGAAATTGACCTAAGGGTAAAAGATGGGGCACATTCGAACATTAGTACAAATAACATGCCATAAACATTTCTTTCACATACTCAAATACTGACCAGCCACTCAGTTTGGGCACGATGAAAGACAGTTTAGTTAGCAATTGCATTGATTGATTGCCCGATAAGTGGTCTATAACTCCATTATTCCCCCTCTGCCCCATTGATGTGCTGATAGTGCCGATTAATGATGATTCTAATTGTCTGCCTGTGAAGACGAGGAGGCATTGTTCACTTCAAGCGGCATAATAATGGCCTAATAACTCTGTGGAAAAATACAATTTACTGTCGGCCGTGCTTTGGAGTGCGCGCCTCAGACCACCAAAGCCAATCGTTTTTGACAACCACACACATTTCCTGCTAACTGAAACAAATGGCACAAGACAGGGCCCTGGTGAGAAAGTGCTGAAAGCTACAGAGGAGACTCCAAAGCACCAGTCAGCAAAAACAGGGAAATCTCATTGTGTACGGTTTGATTTTCATTTTTGTTTGATGGGAGATGCAGAGAGATGAAGAGGCATATATGTGTGATGTCTAGGCTGATAGAAAAGAGGTTTGTGAGAGTGAACAAAGCTAAAAAAGGCACAAAACGTTAATCTAAATTAAGACGGTTCTCAGCAACTTCAACTGTATCAGTGCGTTTTCTGAAGATAACTTTAAAGTAGACAAAAAAAGCCCCTAAATTTTATTAGGGTCGCCTAGAGGCTGCAATGTTTATTACGCTGTGAAGTACGTAAATATTAAACCAAGCCAACAGTGAGTTTGCCAGAGCTTTGTCAGTTTTAGTACAAAAAATGTGAAGTTTTTGTGGCAATGTTTCTGTTTCTTTTGTTCAGGCTCTGGTGAGGCTCTCTTTTTTGATCTTGCCTTTAAAGCTCTGATTGGCTCACATGTTTTTTTTTTCAACCAGGGAAGTAGCCCTGAATGTACACAACACCAGACCTGTTTTAATAAAACAAAAAAAATATGGTCTTTGGGTCATTAAAGTCAACAAAATCAATCAGTTGTTCCCTCTTGGAGAGAGATAATGTATTCACAATGCCAGGTAACTTATAAGCTACCTTGTGTGCAAAAGCTACATGTTGGGTTGATGGTTATGCTTATTGAAAGCTAATGAAAGTATTACTTGGCCTAATGGTGCTGTTAGAAGAAATGTCAGAGGCTAAGCAAAAACAAGTTCAACCTGATATAGGCAATAGATGAAAAATCAGGGGGCTGCTAAAATGCTTATGATGATTATCCTTTGTGGACTATAAATATGTGAACTCAGTGTCATGGCAATAGCTTGAGATGGTTACAAACTGGATCTAATTAAGTAAAAATCCTCTTCCTTATTAAACACATCCTGGATTAAGTTCAATATGTTGTTTCAGAATCACTCACTATAGAAGTATCTAGGTTTGATCTCACAGTTTAAGTGGAGTGCCTGATCACTCAGTATTTGTGTTTGATTCAGACTTATTCAAATACAAACACCAATACAATGACAAACAGCTGTATAAGCCAAAAGTAAGTCAACCTGTTTGATCAGCTCTTTGGCAAAATCCAGAGAACTGCAGCCTGTGAGTGGGGATTAATAACGCACTTGATCCTGCCTCACACTTTCTTTCATGCAAGCACCTGCCACAGCTCAGGCCTTCCAAATGTGGCTGAGTCATGGCAGATAGACTGTGCTCACTATGGAACAAACCGCTGTCCTGTCCAATCACCTGTTTGAACAGGATCCAGTTCAGCTGACAGGGCTACTGTGACATTTGTTTACACCAAGAACTTTGATTATGAAAAACCACACACAAGATACGAAGTCTGATGGGCAGGTTTTCCATTTCCTTTCTCTAAATTTGTTTTTTTTTTCCTTTTATTTCTTCTTGTCTGGTGTGACAGGCTTAGATAAACTGACCCTGAAACTGATATGAAACGAAAATTTCAAAATGAAACAGATCATGTCAGTAAAATTTGGTATGTGTAGCCCTAAAAAAATCTGAACAAAAATTACATAAAATGTCCTTGAGGTGAGGAAAAATAACAAAGCTAGAATAAATGAATAAAAATAAAAGACAGAATACTGCAGAAGCTGCCAAGCGTCTCCAGGTGTTGTGAAGACAACAGAATCAGCAGCTTGGCAGGAGAGCAGCGCTCTCAGGGCAGTGATGCTCGGTCAACAACCACAACAGCAATAGTGGAAAGATAACCTAAACTATCATGTTGCTGCACTAAAGAAAACCACTCTGATCTGACACATGGTTTGGTTTAGGAACAAATTGCAATTTTGCTAAATGTAATAACTTAACTTAATTAAGGTCTAGTGTGTAAGATTTAGTGGCATTTAGTGGTGTAGTTTCAGATTGCGACTCCTTCGCATCACCCTCCCCTTCCAACCGAGAAGGAGAAACTAAGGTGGCCACGAAACGCGCAAATACAAATACATATGATTTAAACATATGTCATAATTATACTTTTGCTAAAATGACTGATGCAGTTGTTTTTGTTGGGAGAATAGTCTCAATATAAATGAATAATAAATAAAAGCACTATGATTGTAGAGTGAATTAATTATATTGGCAATGACCATTTTTATTCTTTACTGGTTTCAATAATTAGTTATTAGTGCACATAGAAGCTGTTTGCCAATATAATCAATGAACTGTTAGCCCTTATATTTTATATTAATTAATAGTGTATATAAATATTTGAGAATTTTTTGATTGCTTTTATAATTTCTGAAGCAGTATCTGTGTCCATATTATGGAAACTATATGTATAGGCTCTAGTATACAAACATAAGCTTCTCCATTTTTCTTTGAAGTTGAAAGTAGTCACATTTCTATGGACTGTAAAACAAATATTCATCATGAGATGCACCGTCTACCATAGCTTAATAAACAGACTGTAATCAGAAATCCAAACACAAAAACAAATCAATAATAGTTTTCAAAGTTTTATGAATGTCGTCATTGTTTGATTAGTTTCTTATCACCACATGCATACTGTATTATACTGTGGATCTTCTCCCTCACAAAGTGTATCATAAATTAAAGAAATGTACTGCAGTAATGAAATATAACTCTCTCCTCTGTGATTTCTACAGACTCTGCGTCCATGCACAAAGAGTACTGATAGCTTTCCAATAAGCTCTTAGGCTACAGGCTGACTAAGAAAAGAAAATGGTGCTTGGTTACAAGCTAAATAATGGCCACTCTCATAAGAGTGGAGGTGTGTGTGTGTTAAGAAAGCAGAGTTGAAGAGCCAGGGAGGAAGAAAATAAGTGGCAAATTGGAGGCAAATCAAATCATCGGCCTTTGAGTCTTTTTCCCTCCACTGCTGCTGTCCAACGGTGCCTCTCATTCAGCCAACTATTCATTCAGAGAGTCTGAAGAAAACCCAATGGTCCAAAAACAAAGTCTGTCTCTGATTAGAGAGAGAAATGAGGTTTTACAAAATGTTATTGGTTATTCCTGCTGCCAAATAGCCAGGCAGCTCCCTATTAGGACTTATATAGACAACATGTGGATCGGTACCAGGACCCGGGGGCTGCTGCCAATGGATACGCCATTACTGGGGCTCACACGCCTCCAAATGTATGAATATACAAAATGGCCGACAGCCAGAGGCAGTTTATTGGCTGTTGCAATGTGTGTTAAATGGGCAAGTGGAAAAATGTGATTGGCTGACTCAAAAGTTACTAAAAAATTCACTGACTGTTGGTTTAAGGTGATTGAACATAATCTTAAGTGGCTAACGTTAGAGGAAGAACCTATTACATGCTTTAGTACTGCGCTAATAGGTATGTTCGTCTCCTCCATACATGACTGTTTGTGCCTCTTTTCAGCAAGAACATATGAGTATTGTTCTTACATGTGTTGGTTTTCTTTAATGTATTGTGCACCTGCCCTGGCCATTAACCAGGACTGAAGTGATCCAGTAAATACTGTCCTGAATTGCTCCCCACCACCCTCCCCATTGCTATTTACTGTCCTGTTCCTTCGTCTAGAGAGCCCCTAGAGCAATTCTTTTTTATTGTATGGTTGAAGCACCAGAACCTCACTACAAGTTTTATTTTTTTCCCTTTTATAACCCTAAACAACAACAACAACAACAGAGAGTAGCACTGAAGCAGTGCAGGCCAGTGAAGGCAAAGAGCATTAGAAATCTGATGAAACCCTGATGAAAACAGCCTCCTCACCAAACCGACCACATGTTGTTTATCCAAAGATCGACCCATTCGGAAGAACAGATAACATTTTGCATAAAATATGCATGTAAATATATTTGCGAGCATTTACAAAAGATGCAAAATTTTCA